GCACAGGACAGGTGCTGCGTGACTCCACCCAACTGACACAGCCAAGTAATAGTCCAGCTCACAGAAGCAAAGGGTGAGGCAGAGGTAGCCAGGTGCTGTCAAATGGGATGAGGCTTTATGTTTACTGGGCTTGGGGTGTAAGCCAATTAAGATGGGAAGTTCTAGAGCTCTTCTTTGCTGCAGTGTGCATAGAACCAACAGTGCCACACCATACCCTGAGAGTTTTGCAAAGACAGCATGCTTCATGTTAAGTACTTTTGTTTTTGTTTTTCAATACTGGGGACTGAACCCAGGGTGTTTTCACTGAGTTACATTCCAAGTTACTTTTTTAAAATGTTGGGACAGGATCTCATAAAGTTGCAAAATGCCTAGGTTGAGCTTGAATTTACGATCCCCCTGCCTCAGCCTCTCAGAGTACCAAAATCATAGGCTTTTGTCATCATATTTGTTAGTTCTTATTTTTACCATAGGTAAAAGAAGGAGGACTGGGCATGGTGGCACACAGCTGTAATCACAGATATTCAGTAGGCTGAGGCAGGAGGATGATGACTTGGAAATCAGTCTGGGCAGCTTAGCAAGACCCTGTCTTAAAATAAAACAAAAGGGGCTAGGGGTATAGCTCCATGGTAAAGTGCCTGCCTATCAGATTTAAAGCCCTGTGCTCAAATCTCCATCACTGGAAAAACAAAAAGACCTTGTATCCTAGGCCTGGTGGGGGCCTCCACTATTGTTACCTTTCTGTCTGATGCTGCTGCTACTCCCCAGCCCTCACCAGCTCTCCTTCACTTGCACATCCTATGCCACGTGTGTGTGTGTGTGTGTGTGTGTGTGTGTGTGTGTGTCTGAGAGAGAGAGAGAGAGAGAGAGAGACAGAGAGACAGAGAGACAGAGAGAGAGAGAGAGAGAGAGAGAGAGAGAGAGAGAGAGCACATGTATGCCACAGGCCTGTGGGGAGGAGTTCATGGGAAGACAAGTTCTACTCTCTGCCCTGCTCTTCCTTTACTAACTTTAAATTCTAGTCTGCACGACTTCTGGGAGAACATGGTGGATAGATAACAGCAGCCATGGAGGCTCTCTGAGATAGCCAACTTAGATTCCCAGGAATGGTGTGGTGTGGGGAGTCTTAAGCAGGGGAGATATACCCTGCCGATCAAGAACAAGCTAAGATGAGAGAAACCAACTGGAAATGCAATCCCGGTGCTACAACTGGAACAGCTCAAGTCCCAGTGCCAAAGATGAAACCTGTGCCTCTGGAAACTGCAGCTTGGATTTCCTGCTGCTGCTGCTGCATCTGAATCAGCACAGCAGAGACAGAGATGCGAAAGCTCTGAAAGCAGGAATCTGGCAAAACGAATTGAGAGCAGAGCTGGCAGGGAGCCCTGCATCAACCCGCAGTGACTGAGAGGAACGGGGACCCTTCCATAGACTAGGAGGCTCCAACACAGGACATTCTGGGCAGACTAGCCAGAACAGGATGCTGCAGTGACTTCAGTCACATATTTCCCTCTCAAGTGGGATTGGTGGGGAGCACTTGACCTGGGTGACGCCATGGACTAAGACCCAGTAGGCTAGCCCAAGCCAGGTCCCTGCACCTGGCAGTGCACCCTAATGCAGTGAAGCCTGCAGCAGGTTGACTGACCTGGAGGGGCAGGCCCAGCAGAGGATGCCCAGGTCTGTATCTCCCTAGTACACTGCAGTGGGCGGGAACACCTAGCCAGAGTGATTCAAACAAACTGCAACCGATAAAGAAAGAAACTGGGCCTCTTGTATACGTTTGTATGGAAAAAACAGAAAGTATGGGAAGAGGGAGCAACAAGAAAGGGTCCTCAGTCCCCAATTCTGAGAACACTGATCCAGGAAAGGTAAATGCAAAGAAGAATGAGGACAGAAAACATGCAATATCAGACACGGCACCAATAGACATAAGGCGATATCTCCGGGACCTCATAGATAAGTTCAAAAATGAAGTATTTAACCAAGTAAAGTAAGATATAAGTAGAATAGTTAAAGAAATGCTAAGCACCTCCCAAGAAAAAACAGATGGTGGAATGGAAGAACAGAAAAAAAGGGGAGAATTGTTTGATGGAGAAAAAAGAGAAAACATAGAATACATGAAGCAGGTTCAAAGAGATTACCAGGAAATTAAAAACTCTATTGAAAGCTGGCATAACAGCTTGAAAGAAACTAAGGATAGATCATTTGAACTGGAGGACAGATTTGTAATGTGGGAGCATGAAAGGAAAAACTTCTTAAAAATAATAAGGAAACAAGCAGTAACAATACAAAGGCTAGAAGATGATAAGAGGATCTATAAGTTAAGAATTAGAATGTAAAGGAAGAAGCAGGGATACAAACAAATGAACTGCAAAGGCTATTCACAGAAATAAACAAGGAGAATGTCCCTAATATGGGAAAAGGTAAAGATACTCAGATGTATGAAGCATACAGAACCCCAGACACCTACAACCCAAACAGAACTACACCCAGGCATATAATAATCAAAATTCCAGAAATCTAATATAAGAACAGAATATTAAAAGCTATCAGAGACAAGAAACAGATCACTTACAAGGGAACACCCATCAGAATTACAGCAGACTTCTTGGCACAAATCATCAAGTCACAAAGAGTGGCGAAATATTTCAAGTGTTGAAAGACAATAACCTCCAGCCAAGATTGATATATCCTGCACAATGTCCCTAGAAATTAATGGAGAAACAAGGTGCTAACAGGATAAAGAGGAACTAGAGGAATTTGCAACCACCAATTCAACTTTACAGAGAATACTGCAGGACATTCTAAAAGAGAAAACTACCAAGATTCCAGAAACAGTGGCAGAGAGGCCACAATGAAAGGAGCAGAAAGTGAAACGAAGAAGACAAACTGACAACTAATGACAGAAAAAGAGCTCAACAGAAATGAGGTAGAGAAGGTTGGATAGTATGAACAGTTATTTTGGAGAAAACAAGACATCATAGTAGCTAGTGCTGATTTAATATCATCTTGTTTTGAAGTCCCATCAAGCTTTGTTCTTCTGTCTCCATTGGTCTTAACATGTTGTATCTGATTGGATTTTATTATATGTGATAATATAAACAAAAACTTTTATAGACAAGGAGATTATACAGAAACCATTGTTCATTTTCTGTTAGTTGGTTCTAAATACCCTGTAATACTGTCATTCTCTTGAATGGTTTTAAATTGTCTTGATATGTTTGGTGCTACAGTATACGAAGTTATACTCAAAGATTTCAAGGAAAGAGACACTATGGTAATTACTTTTATGTCAGGATATCTTGTGGTGAAACACTGTTTTGCTTAAATGGTTATGTTCTGACCTGTGCTGTTTTGTTGTTATGTCCTCTTTTATCACAATATCCTTTTTTATTATTTATTATTTATTTTTTTTCTTTTTGATTAAGGGAAAAAATAAATAAAAATAACAGGATGTATTATAGTAGCCCACTTTGATTTCCTATTAACTTGATTGAAACCCTGTATTGCTCTCATCATCTTGTTTTGACTGATTTTACTCTATTCTGTTTTGCTTGATAGTACCAAGTTTGAGAGTATAGGCAACAACTATGAAGACAATAAGATTCACTACGATGCCCATTCTGGTTTGACTATTATCTTCTTTTGAAGTCCTGTAATGTCTCCAATATTTTGGTTTTATTGTTTTTTTCTTTACTGTTTTGTTCAATTTTATTATAAGTGATGATATAGGCAATTTTTTTAAGATAGCAAGAAGCATTATGGTAACCATTGCTGATCACCTTGTATTCTGTTTTTACATTATGTACTATGTCCATCCTTTTGATTTGACTGACTCTGTTTTGTTATGTCACATTTGGTTTTATTCTCTTCAAAAAAAGTAATAAGAACTGTGGGAGTAATAAAACCCAAAATGTGTAATTGTCATTGTAAAAAAGAGAAGAAAAGAAAGTGCTCTAAAGGGTATAACTGCATGTATATTTAAGCATATAAGGTAGATAACCATATTACTGTGTTTTTGTTGGATCTTGAACAGAACTGTTTGCAGTCTCACTGTTTGAATGTCCAATATATATGCTTTAACTTTGTAACTTGAAAACTATCTCTAAGATGACAATATGTAACCTATTAACTAGTGATTTCCCACTGTTTATTTTTTTTTGGAAATTCTGTATAACTTGTACCCTTTGTCTGTTTTTTTCTTTTTCTCCTTAAATAAAATTTTTTTTAAATTAAAAAAAAATAAAAACTTCTAGTCTGCAGCTTTTTAAGGTGTGTAGTCTTCAGCTCCAGCTCCTAATGGAAACACATTTGCTGAAAAATGCAGGCTCAATTCCTTTTCATTGATTTCCATGTTCTCTCTTCCCAAAAAAGGAGTCTGTTAGCAAGCCTTGCCCATCAGCTCTCCTGTGAACTCCAGGATTCTTCCCATAAGTGTGTGCCAGGGGAGGGGAGATGTCCATGGCAGATACCTGACAGCTACCTGCTCTGGGGCAGTGGCTTCTCCCTGATGAGCCGTAGGTGATGTAGGAAATACAGAACTTCTGACCTGTTAGATGTCAGATATGTTAAGTTCACGTTCTCTGAGTAGAAGAATAAATTCCAAGGGACAAAGCGTAACAGAAAATAGCACCACCACCCCAGCCAGCGTACTTCAATTCCTTAGTTTCCCTGATAACAGTTCCTGTTGCAGTTCTGGTTGCTTCTGGCTCCAAGAAGCACCTGGTCACTGTGAAGCACAAGTAACAGAACCAATCCCCAACTGAAAAGCCCTTCTGTCCCTGTACGTCTTGCTTGCTTATCCCATGAAAGCCCTAGACCACCAGAGGTCAGGGCCTGATATTTTCAGAATGATCCCAATCAGTGCCCCTTGACATAAAATAAATCTACCTCCAAACCTTGGGTGTTGTTTTGGTGTTTGTGCTTGCCATTGCAAAAGGAAGTTAAGAGTAGGGAAGGTTATTAAGAGAAAACTCCAGGGAGACAGGAGGGGTCCTAAATGGGTAGCCACTTGAAGCCCTTTGTCAGGGATGATTTATTCAGCAAAGTCACAAAGTGCATTCAACAGAAATCAAACTACAGTCAACATATCGGATTACAAGTACTGGACAGCCACTTAGCTAATATTGATCCAACCGGGAAATGGGTCACATAGCTGGAGTACATGGAGAGAACAAAGGCATGTCTGCAAAGGATGAGAAATATAGGTCCAGATATTCTGGCCACCCACCCACGTGCCTAATACTAATCTGGATTCATTGGACCAGGTGGTGCCGATTACAGTAAATATCAGGTTTGGTTTATCTTGCAGACCTGGTTATTGCATCTCCATCCTGAGGTCTGGGTCTGTTCAGAGGGGCTCCCAGTCACAACTCTGACATCTCTGTTTTTCATGCTGACTTCCCCAAGGGCCCGGTCCTTCTCTGTTTGTACCTAACTTAGCTGCCTATCTTAGGAGTAGAACTCAGCTTACTGCTTTCAAAGAAAACAGGGATCCCTTGGTTATTAGTCAGCAATGGTGGGGTCACTCACCCTCCTGAATGGCTGCGCCCCACAAAGCTGCCTTGTCACCCATGTATCGCTAGATCTCCAGGAAGCCAGACCCAGGGGACTGGTCATAGGGGAGGCAGCTGCAGTCAATGGACAGTGGGTCCTGGTCCCAAACAGATTGACTTATCCAGGCTTTCTCTCTCTCCTGAGCTGATCACAGGCCAGAGCCCTGCACCAATCTCAGGTGCAGAGAAAACTTCCTTGGCTGAAGGACAAGAGGGGATCATAGAGTCTCGGTAGAGAGGACAGGCTCCAGAGGCCAAGCCAGGGACTGGAGAGCCCTGCCTTGGTCCCCTGCTGTGACACTGGACCCTTGCTGCCCATCATGGTCATGACAAAGGGCAGGGTGGGTTTAGAGCCAACCTGTGAGCTCAGATGTGGGTTTGTGCTCACCCGTCTGTGGGGGTCACATCTCAGTGGGCCCATTTCTCCTCACACGAAAAGAAGTGTAGTGAAGGCCCCCGACTCATGGCCCCAAGTGACACATTCAGGAATGCTGCTGCTGCTGGCAAGGCATTACAGACATCGCTTCTAAACTATTGAATTTTTAAAAAAACATTATTTAAAAGAAACAGCATCATCGCCCTGGGATAATTTTCATTGTCTGTCCCCTCCCCAACTTGAAGGGGCTCTCAAGGCTCAGTGGGGTCTTTGAGCAGGAGCCCCAGCAGCTGTGCTGGGTACAAAGGCTCAGGTCAGCTCCAAGGGGGGAAGGGAGGAGGAAAAAAGGGGAAGAGGGCAGGGCTGGGGAAGAAGAGGAGGAGTGGGAGGAAGCCGCTGTTCCAGCAATGTAGACTGAGTCTCGTCCTCCCTGGAGGCAGGGACACCCAAGCTCATTCCTCAGAACTGCCCGCAGGAGGACCATGCCTCAGTCAGAGACTCGTGGCCATAAGCCATCAAAACCCAACCAGATTAGATTATGGAAAAAATGATTTTTCAAAATCCCACTTCAAAAAAAGTCCTATTTCAGGCATTGGAGCAGGGAGGGTGGTGGGCTGGTCCTTCCGTCTCTCATCTGGGCTTCTGTCTCAGGCTCTGCCTGCATTTTCCCAGCAGAGGATGTGGCCCCTGGCCTTGAGCTGCCTCTGGTGGCGTGGGGTGTCTGCCACCTGAAGTAAGATGATGCCTCTGAGCTGTGCGAGCTGTGCAGAGCAGGGAGGATTTGTAGCCAGCTCCCCACGATCCAGTCTGTCCTTGTGCCCTCAGGGCATGGGGCATTTCTTGCACAGCCCTTGTCCCCACCAGAAACAGGGTCCGGAACAGGAAGCCTCTGCACACCCATCTTTCTAAGGAGTCATGTCTTTGGTCAGAAGTTCAGAGTTCAGATTTTTACAGGTAGGGTGCCCCCACTACTCCTGGGGTACCCTCTGCAACCCCTTCAACCAGAGGACAGCACCGGCCACGATGAGCAAGATGGGCACCTTCACAAACGCCAGGAGTAGGTAGTGGGTCCTGTGAGAGGAACAGCCGTCAGAGCCCAGTGACGCTCGGTTGCCCCGTCCTCTGTGGCTGCACAGGGGAGACCCAGGCTGCAGATCTGGAGACCCTGCACCCACCGCTGCTCCCAGGATCCTTGTTCACGGTCCAGCCCTGAGGCCACCCCAGATGTAACCTCAGCTGGTCGTGCCTGGGCACTTCCTCCTTTTTAGTTGTATTTCTGGGACTTCTCTTTCCCAAAGCACAAGGGAGACCTAAAACTTTGGTGAATGTGTAATTACAAAAAAATTCACTAGAGTAAAAGTCACATGGACATTGATCCCCTTCACCCCAAACACACTGTGCCATTCGTACCGCTCTGGGAAGCAGTTCTGGAAGTCATTTGTGGGTGGGAGGGGATATCCTTATAAATCGTGCTGAAAAAAATCTATATACAGCAAATGAGGCTGCCAGGTGCCATTCAAAGGGAAAGGCAGGCTTGTAAAAAAACAGGCTGCAGTGGGTCCTCATCCACTTTGTTCACCTGATCTGAATGACCGTGAAAGATAATCATTTTGAATCCATTCAGGACATTAAGGCAGCCATGACAGCATAAGACACTCATGAAACAGAACTTCCAGAACTGCTTCAGAAAGTTGCAAGCACAATGGAATAAGTGTATCCTAAAGGAGCGGGAACCTTTTGAAAGGGATTCATAACAATATGTCTTTTAGGGGCTGGGGATTTAGGTCAGCGGCATAAGCACCTGCCTTGCAAGCAGGTGGTTGTGAGTTCGATACTGATAAAAAGATAAAAAAAAAAAAAACCAATGTGTCTTTTACTAAAATTTTTACTAAATTTTTAAGAACGTAAACACACATTGTATTTTTCTGTCACTTCCAATACAAACCTGTAGGCCACCACCTGCAGGCTGTGTTTTCCTGCCTCTGTCCCCCTAACGCCAGCTTCATGTTGATATCACTCTCCCTGCTCTGTGTCCCATGATGTCTTGTATCATGGAGATTGGTACCTTATCTCCCTTGGAACCCAGGGGGCCACCCGTGCTTTTTGGTTGACCAGTGAATGGATGGCGACACTTAGAGAGGAGAGTTCTGCAGAAGGCTTTTCTGATGAGGGTGAGATGGGGAATTGGTGGCTGAGGACTCTTGGGGTGGAGGGAGGAAGGGCTTGGGGCTTTCACTTGGGCTGTAACAAGTGCTGACATTGGAGACAGAAACAGGCAGCGTCCTCACGCCTGGATTTCGCATGGAGAAACCCAGGAGTAAGGCACAAGGCAGTGGCCATGCAAGGCTGGACAGGAGGAAGGAGTGCAGGCCCTTACCTTGAATGGGACCCAAAGGACACGCCAAAGCTACTCTCATCACTAGGTCCATCAAGGGGTTTGGAAGTCAAATTGACCATTCCTGCTAGACACAGGCAGGGGTGGACACAGGTTAGTGATATAGACTGGGTTTTTTCACGGCTCTAATGCAATGCCAGCCTGGGAGCCCGCCGTCAAGAGACCTCCTCTGTGCTGGGCTGGAAAGATTCACCTCTTCAAATGCAGTTCCTTGGGCTTTATTGAGTCATGTGACACCCAACACAGTCATTTCCCCTGTCGTTTTCAGGTGTGGAAGGAAAAATAAAAAGTAGAAAAAAAGCACCATCATTTCTTCATTTATTCAAAATAAAATGCCTGGTCCTTTCCACTCATATGGAACCCAAACTCAACTCAGGAGCAAAGTTCCAAAAATGGAGTGCCCAGTGATTAGAGCCATCAGGAAGAGGAGGGGCTCGGGAAGGCTGGTGAGTAGAGGGTGCATTGCAGTTAAATACTGAACAACTGTGAGGAATGAAACATTCTGTGTGAGATGATTTATGGGAGCAGTTTTGTCACAGATTCCCGACACCCTCTGGGCCTTGAGCATTCCTGACCTATAACTCCCCCCTCACCTCAGCACTGGGGATTGAACCCAGGACTTTGTTGCTAAATTACATCCCCAGCCTTTTATGTTTTGAGGCAAAGTCTGACTAAATTGCTAAGTTGCTCAGGCTGGGCTTGAACTTGTGATCCTACTGCCTCAGCCTCCCAGGATGCTGGGGTTACAGGTATGCCTCACTACCCCTGGGTTGTAGCTACCCTTTAATTTAGTCCTTGGCCAAGAAAGCTCTTTTCTCAAAGATCCCCAGCTGCCATCACCCCAGGCAGCTTCTAGGTGGGCTCTAGATACTGTAATTTTAATCCCACAGCTCCTGTGGAGGCCCCTGATTGCCACTAGGACCCCTAAATGCCTTCTCCCTAAAGCTCCACATAGCCTTTTGCTTCTCTGTCCCTTGCCCACATTTCTTACCCAATCCTCTTCCTGTCTCCAGAGTCCTTTTGAACTTCCCCTACATGGTCACAGTGAGGAAGTCTTGCTTGGGTGGATTTTTTTGGACCCACATTACCCAGGGGCACCCCAGCTGTCCTTCACTGGTTTGGACTCTAACAACACACTGGCCTGCTTGAAAGCTGACACCATCCAAGTGCCCATCACCATCAGCCACGTGGACACAGGGATGAGGGTGGCTGAGCACCAGTGAGCTGGGTAGAAGCAGGGAGGGCTCATTTTCAGATGCCAGTAATAGCAGCAGGAGGATGCTGAACCCCTTGGGAGTCTGCGGCATGATGAAGGTTCCAGGCAGCCAAAGAGCTCCCTGAGGTGCTATTTGAGCACCTCCACGGGTCTTCCCCCCTTTGTTTACTCTCCTAAGTCAGACAGGTGCAGGAGGGGACCCAGACAGGAGAGAGGCTGCAGAATGCTCAGCAGTGCTCTGGGTTGGTCAGGGCTGGAGGTCAACACTGGCCGCCTGGGTTGTCCCAGCTCCCTACTGTCCCATGTTACAACAGATCTGCTTGAGTTCCAGGAGACTGACCACTCCCCAGACAGATGCCTTGGGACCCTCCCCAAACCTTCAGGGCCCATTCAGGGCTCCAATGGGAGATTGAGGACACTAGGGCTATGTAGCCCCAAAACAGTGGGGCTGGGCCACAAGTTGCCGAAAGAGAGGTCCCCAACCCTGCCCCATCCTGAGATCTACCAGTCATGTTGCATGCCAGCTGGATACTTAGAGGGCCTCAGAGGTGGGGGTGGACGTGCTGGGTCTTCCTCACCGCTCTCAACCCTCCCCCATCTGTCTGTCTGCCTGTCTGTTTGTCTCTCTGTCTCCTAGGCTGCTGCATTTTTCCATCCTAAGCACCATGCTTTCATAGGGCAGAAGAGAAAGTTCTTACCTGGGTCGATGATGAGTTTCACGGGTACCCCAGGGTCGGTAAAAGACCTCTCAATCCCACACCAGTAAGTGCCCGCATCATCTTGCCTAAGCCCCTCCATGGTCACCTTGAATGACCAGTATGTCTGATTGTCCCTGATGGACACCCGGCCACTCTTCTCTTCTTGCTCTGAACCTCTGGTTTTAACAAGGACGCTGCACACGCGCCTCCTTCTTCCTCGACACCACCACTTATTGTAGGTCTTCCATCTTGAGCTGTAGTGACACTGCACCGTCACCGATCCCCCCTCTGAGCCCCTCACAGACGCTGGGCCTCGGAGGGAGAAACAACCTGAAAACAAGAATCGCCAAGGACAGCTGCTGGCACCCCGAGCCAGGTCGGTGTCCAGAGACTGGACGAAGGTCTCCACTCCCCACCCACCCTGACACCCCTGCTTTTAGCAGCTGTCTCCTCTGAGGTCCGGCTTCCTGTAACCCCCGGTGAGAGGCTCGGGCTCCCCAGGCCTCCTCTCCCCAGGCCTGTGACACTTCTGATTTTCTGCCACCTTAATTCTGTGCTCTTCTGATCTCTCCCTTCTCATCTGTCTACTCAGCCTCAGAGGCTTCGACCAATTCTCTCTGCCTTTCTCTCTTTAAATCTTGGTGCAGCTGGTGTATGTTAGTAAATATTTAACATCAGTTTTCTGTGGAAAATATCCTCTGGTTCATAATGTTTTGCCAATTTCTTCTTTCTTTCTTTCTTTTCTTCTTTGAGACAGGGTCTGCCTTTGTAGTCCAGGCTGGCCTCATACTCACTGTGATCTTCCTGCCTCAGCCTCCTGAGTGCTGGGATTACAGACATGCAGCACCACACCTGGCACATTTTGCCAGTTTCTGTGGTGTAAATGCTCCTGTCATGGCAGGTGCCAGGCTAATGGTGTGTTGCTGCTGGGCACACTGAGCAGCAATGCCCACGAGCTACTCTTGTGTAACAGTGTGAGTCAAGTATGAGCTGACTCCGAACACCCCAGGGAAGCCCAGGGAGCCTCTCCAGCCGTCAGTGGTTTCCACTTGTGTCCCCAGAGAGGGATCCCTCCATTGTCATGGCTTCCATTATTGCCTACATCCTGGATTCCCCAGATCCATCTCATAGCTTAAATTCTTCCCTTCGCTCTGGCCCCCCGCTCACAGGCACACACCAAATATCTCCTCCGTTCAGTAGGCACCGAACAGAAGGTGGTGCCTCCCCAGCCTGAGTCTCCTTCCACCTCCTCTCTAGATGCCTGGGCTGGGAGTTTCTGCAGTAGGACAGGTCTGAAGCCCCAGGCGGACGCCACATCCTCACACCTTGGACCTTCTCCCTGTGTTACTTCTGTTTACTTGAGATTTGTACTTGTGGTCAGCAGGATAACGCCCTCCCAATACTCAGAACATATGAATATGTCCTTAACATAGAAACAGAGAATAAGCAGATGTGATTAAAGATTTTGAAGCCAGGGATGTAGGTTAGTGGCACAAGAACCTATCTGGCAAGCATGAGGTCATGAGTTCAAACCCCAGTACAGAAAGAAAGAAAGATTCTAAGGTAAGGAGGTGATCCTGTATTAGCCAGTGAGTACTTGTAAGTGAAAAGGTTAACAGAGGGTAGGTTTGATGATGACTTGTTGCTGGCTTTGAAGATGGAGGAGGGGTTGTGTCCAAGGAAGGCTTTCTGGAGAGAAAGCTTTCCAAGAGAGCTTTCTGGAAAAGGCATCGGAACAGATCTTCCCAGACAACTTCAGAAGGAGCAACCTCAACACTGGCCAGGAGGATCATTTCAGACCCCTGATCATCAGAACAGTAAGATTGTGACCTTGTATTGCTCTAAGCCACCAAGCCACGGGAAATGCATATGGTATTCAATCAGCAGAACCAACTTTGTGAGCTTCAGACCAGCAACTCCACTGTGGAGCCTCCCTAAGGAGCTTGGCGTCCTGAGGGGTCCTGTGCTCTCTGCAAGTGATTCAACACCTTGCAAGGGCACCTGGCATGATTATCTAGGCCTCTGTTCTTGCAGGCCACAGGGACGGGATGATCAAGCAGAGAGAGCATGAGCTGTGCATACAAATGATGTATGATCACGGACTAGTTGGGAAACTTCGGGTGAGTTACTTAACTTCCCCAACTTTTGCTTCCTTATTTATAAAATGCCCATGCCACCTTCTCCCTCATGTAGGTTGTTACATGACTTAGCTGTGTGTCCAGTTACATTTAGGGCATGTTTCGTCAGCAATTGTCCATCAACAGGTCAGGACCTTGGCTGGTGCCCGGATTGTGGCAGCAGCCTCCAAGTCCCCAGCACCTGCCTTCCAGTCTCCCTTCCCTCCCTTTTGCCCTCGAGACTGTCTGTCCCTCATCGGCACCTGCTGTGAGCACTTGAACCTTACAAGATCCCCAGCAGCCATCCTCCCTGCCTCACGGGGATTTACACGCTTCATTCCGGTGTTAATATCTTTTTCACTAGCTGGATCGTACTTCTTGTCCAGACTCATTGTTTGTCCCTCTTTGTCCCAGACTCGAGACTCTAAATCGCCTCCACTTTTCTCTTTCCCTCCTGATGTGCCCTCATGTACAGCCTCCTTCCTGGAAGCACTCTACAAGTGCCTGCCCTCTGCCCCGTCACTTTCCACACCTCCTCCAGGGTGCCGGCTCCAGCTCTGTACACCTCCACCACCTCCTCCTGTTGCAGCCCGGCTCTTCCTGCAGAGTCTGAACACCACACTGGTGTTTTAGTTCAGTAATCTGTCTCTTTTCCTGTCTTCCTCACCAAGATATGAGCTCCCAGAGAGCAGAGCTTCTGTTTTTATTCATTCTCTCTCTATCTCCAACTCTCTCTTTCCCCCTACTCACATCCTCGAGGTCTCACTCAATGTGTGACTCATGGTAGATACCAAGAGAGTCAGAGGTTGTTTTTGAAAAGAAGCAGAGCACCATGATCTTGGTCATCATTAGTTCATTTCTAGGATTGGGAACAATTTCCATGGCAGTGAACAAGGCGCCTTGGGTGTTATTTGCAGTACTGATGTTGCAGTAATCATTGGAAGAATTCAATGATTTAACAGAGAATTAAATTAATAAATTATGGTCCACATACTTGTCACCCTAGCACCTTGGGAGGCAAAAGCAGAAAGATTGAAAGTTCAAGTCCAGCCTGGGAAGCATAGCAATAACCTATCTAAAAATAGAGTATAAAAAGGACTGAGGGTGTAAAAAGCTGAGGTAGAGCTCCCTATGTTCAATCCCCAGCACTGGGGATAAGAAAGACACATTTTCAGACAATGTTAGGAGAGATGCCTGACATATATTATTACTAGATTTTTTAAGAAGTTGTCTAACCGACTATGATTCTATTTCTGTTTTTTTCTATAGTACATGCATTTTTAAAAATCTAAAAATGTACTCTAAGCTTTTCACACTTAGCACTGAGACTGGGTTTTGCAGGGGGAATTTCTCTTTCTAAATCATACATTTCTATTGTGTATAAACGTTTGTGAGGGCATCAATGGATAAAAGAGTAAGAAAAAAAAATCTTAAAAATGAGTAAGCTAGCAGAAGAGTTGGTAAAAGCCAGCAACTGCTGTGAATTAAAATCAAATGCAGGAGTCAGCGAGGAGGGGTAAGCCTTTTCTTCAAAGAAAAATAACCCAGTTACAGTAGGGAGGAAGGGTTTGATACAGATTGTATTTGCAGTCCTTACAAACAGCAGAAAGACTTGCAGATATTACTTACCACAGGTGTCCCACCAAGCCCAGTGTTAGTGACTGAATGTGGCCCAAATGCACTCACACTGTAGTCGGGCCCATTTTAAAGTGTGTGTGTGTGTGTGTGCGCGTGCGTGTGTGCACAGAAGAGGTGTTGTAAAATGGGTAATGATGGATGGAGCCTGTGACTGAGAGGCCAAGCAGGGCATAAGTTCAAGCCTAGCAGTGAGACCCTGTCTCAAAAGAAAAAAAGAAAAGGCTGGTAACGCAGCTCAGTGCAAAGGCTCTGGGCTCAGTCTCCAAATCAACAGCTATAGAATTAGTTTGCAGGAGAAAGCGGGTGGAGGCAACGGAGCAGCCGTCAGCTGGGGACAGAACGCTAGGTTCCAAGCCAAGGGCTTTCGGCGCAGAAAAGACTCTTCAAATGTTAGCGCTTCATTTTTGTGAATCTGAGATATAAATTTTGTCCTTTGTGTCAGTCCTTGCTGTGTGCACAAACTCTTCCTCTAAATAATCTCAGGGTGTGGCATGTTGTGTCCCTGGAAGTAGAGGAGCATTAGTGGGTGTGGGAATGGGAGTGAGGCACCACCATGGATGAGGTGCATGGGTGTGACAGCATGCAGGTGTGTACCTTTGAGTTCACTCTGTGTGTGTGTGTGTGTGTGTGTGCGCACACGCATGCATGCGCCCCCAGGCCTCCCCACTCAGCCTGCACCTCTGGGTACAGCGGTGCTGTTTCAGGATGCTTGCTGGAAGGACAGATTGCTTCCTTTAAGGAGCAGCAAGGGACCGGCCTCCGAGGCGCTCTCTCTGGTTCTCGAAGTGGGAAAGTCCTGCTTTTCCCAGTCAGCACATTTCTCCTGGTGCCTCGCTGTGCCCTGCCCTAGTCTTCAAACCTGTACTCTCCACGGTCTTCTTTAACAACCATCCCATTTCCCTTTCCCCTCCTCATCCTCAGGGCCGGATACACTCTGGGCATTATGCAGGGCGCGGTGCACTGCTGCAGAACCGACTCACAAAACCACCCTTGTTTTGGTGGAAAGGCGAGTCTCCTCCAGGGACAGCTGCCCTCTGCCTCCTGGTCTGCTCCTGCAGTACCAAGCCCCAGGCCCAGCCCCACTCACCTGGAAGGCTAAGAAGAAGCAGAGCCCAGGTCAGTCGCATGGTCCTGCTTCCCTGCTCACCGCTCTGACCTACAGGAAGCAAAGCCAGCACAGATCTAGCTGCACTCTTGAAGGACTGCCTGAGCCCAGGCTCAGCACTTCTGCTGTCCGGATTGCTTTGATCGTCTTACTTATTCATTTCCTAGTGTAGAGTGAGTATTTCCTGCTTTTAATTACTCAGCAGTTATGTCTTTCTTACATAACTGGATTATCAGTCAAGAATGTCCTCACTTCGTAGGAAAGAAGATGCAAGGGGCCTGTGCAGGTCGAAGAGGGGCAGGGGACACAAGATTTCAGACTAGTTGTGGGTGGGAGCATCTAGTCTTCGGGCCTCAGGTCAAGGCAGGCAACACCCCAGATGTCAACTCCAGTAATGGATCTGCACCTCAGTGATGGGCCATAGCAGGAGGGAACCTCAACTCATGAGGAGCGTCCTTGGCTGTCTGAGCAAGGTTTGGTCAGTGCCGTAGCCAAGTGCAGAAAGTAAAGACTGCGGTCACAAAGATTTGGGCTCTTAGTTTTCTTACAATGGACAACTTGCTGAATCCTGAACCTGTCTTTTGTTTTGTTTTGTTTGTGTGTATGTGCGTGTGTATGTCTATAAATTTGCTTTACATGATTTTTGTGAGAGATTTGAATGAGAACAATGACTTGAAGTTTTAGTGCTAAGAAAAAAGTGAGTTGGGTCCCAAAATTGTAGAGCAGTGAACGCCAGCAACTCAGCTTCTGTATGACAGAACATGTAGAGTCTGGAAAACATCAGTGGGGAGGGAATCAACAGTGTGAGGAGAAGCTACCTGGAACCACAAGGGAACTGACTGAGGTGAAGAAGATAGGATTAGGTAATAGAGAAGAGATAGCTCACACTGCGGAGAGACCATAAAGTAGAGGGCACCGGCTGGCTCACTGCCGGCTGGGAGGCAAAGTGACCCTAACAGCATCTTTGCTTGCATAGGGGTAAAGAGAGCCATCTGTGGTTGGACAGGACACTGTATCTGAAACAGTGTCCCCAATCAGTGGTCGGTGACTGACTTCAGTACAAGTACCTGCAGTGACAACCCAGAGAGAGGAGCTGTACAGGGACACCGTCATAGGGAAGGGCCGAGGGTTGAACCTGGGTCCCAGAGCAGCCCTGGATGCTTCGCCACTGTCAAATTCTCAGAGTGGACAAGGGAAATTGAGGCAGGGATGGTGAGCACCGTCCTAGCTCCCACAGTCAGAGGCCAGGTTAAGCCTGAGTCACACAGGATTGGAAGCCCTCGCTGGCATGGTGCTGTTACTGGAAGCAGATCTCTACATCTGTTCCGTCCTTCACTACCAACTGTGCACTCAATTTTCCCTGTTAACCCCTTCTGAACATATCCCACACCCACACCATCATTATGGTCCGTTTTCTCCCTCTTATTTCCTTCTTCCCATGCCACAGAGTGGAGGATTTAGGAAAGGGGAGGAAGAAAGAAAATAAACCTTTTTATTTCATCTTCTCTTCCTCACTCTGGTATTACGTGGTGCCAAACCCTCTGGGCTTTCAATAACTGATTCTATAAAATGACTCTTGAACGATGTTTTTCACCATTAGAGGAGATGCAGCTGTCCGATTTAGTGTACATTAGCCATGAATCGAGATTTGGGTCGTTTATTGCTTACACTATAACCATGTTTTCTCTAGGCTAAAGGGAGGCCCTCAAAGTCTTGCAATATTGGCTCTCAATTAGACCTAATTATCTATCTGCACTGTAAAAGCTTAGACTCTCAGTAACTGATTTGATTGCACAGGAATAGTCCTGACTGGTGGACAATTCTGTGCCAGAGGAACCATTTGCCGAGTCCACCACCACACCCAGGGACAAGGACAGCAAGAATCCCTCGAATTCAAACTGGAACTCGAGCTGGATCGGATTGTGAAAAATTGCCTGCAACCCGCAACAAAGAAGTCCTGGGTCTGAGGCAGCTTCAGTGTTGTGGGAAGGGAGTCAGAGGAGTTGCTGGCATGTGAGCACTTAGACTCTGGCAAAGAAACCACTAGGAACCCATATGCAGTGTCTCACGGACATATTTAATCTGTGCTCCCATCTGACATCTTGTAGGTTTAAGGTTTTTGCTTTGTTTTGTTTATTTCTTTTTAGGATGAATTTTTGCATGTTTCCTGATTTATTTAGTAATGTGGGGTTCTGCCATGTACTGCTATGGTTTCCTGTGTTTATTAGATTGTTATTTGTGTGTATTTATTATTTCACTGACTCTAATTTAACAGGTGTCTCGGTTCCCTTTCTTATCTCAGATCTTTATCCAGTTTCTTCACTTCAAACCCCCAATATGATTACTAACATATCTCTTTATTCTTTTTCCAAGCATACAAACTCCTCCTCCCAAGATATTATTTTATTTATTTATTTTTTGGTACTGGGGATCGAACTCTTGACTGTGCCCTTGCAAGGCAAGCACTTATGCTAAATCCCCAACCCCTCCTCCCAAGATTTTAAATTCACCATACTTAGCTTCCTCCCAGTCTCTCCTATCTTCTCCTTGATCCTCCCCCTCCTAGGCCTTTGGCTCTTCCATATCTTACTTAGTTGATTGTTCTTCCTATCAGTGAATTCTGACAACCATACAACTCTCCTCCATATCAAAGTAAACCTTTTTCTCCCATATCTCACCCTTGCCCCCACAAAAAATCCTCTGAAAACTCTCAATACAAACTCTTCAACTCAGCTCAAAGTACTCCACTGAAATCAGACTTCTCATCAAGCTGTTTTTCTCATCTCCTACTACTGTCCCCTATAACCTCCCCCTTAGGGTCTAATACCCCATCTAATCACATGTCCTTCTCCCCACCCTCAACACGGAACAGCCACAAATAATAAACTGCCACAGCACTCACCGAGAATGGCATAGCAAGGTGGCGGCCAGGATTGTCATATAGAAGTATTATAAGATTGAATTTGTGGATGCTGTCATAACCAGAATATTTCTTTTGGGAAAACACAGGGACAGTGTCAGAATCACTTAAAGTACATAACAGAAGGAGTAAACTCTAACAGTAGACATACAAAGCTGAAAATTATTCAGAAAGAGGCAATATCCTACTAGAAATTTCCATATATGTCAAAAACATTCCTAATTTCTCTAGTCCTCAACTTGCAGTAACACTCCCAAAAAGGAGAGGGAGAAAGTGAGGACCATATATAAGTTTTAAAAGACACATGCATAAACAAATAAACACAGATACACATAGGAGGATGGCAAAGCAAGGAAACAAGATCTCTGGATCTCACAGCTCTCTCAAGGCAGAGCAAAGGACCACAAAGGGAGAAGAAAGCTAATACCAGGTGGCAGAAATCTATGAAAGTTCATAGAAGGGATGAAGGAAATAGGTGCATTCAAAAAGGAAACGAACCAAAATTCACAGCAGTGTTATTCAGTATGTCCACAGTGAATTTCAGAGAAATGGGGGAAATGCATAAGCTAACCAAAACAGTTCCAAATTTAAATGACAAATTCAACAAGGACATGGAATCCTTGAAAAGATGTTGAACAGAAATAACTGAAATAAAAAACCACATGCAATTCATGCATTGCAGAAATGACTACTGTGAAGACAAAAGAGCTCAAAGAAGCCAAAAAGTGAAGAGGAGGACAAGAGGCTCCCCAGGAGATACTAGACGGCAAGAAGAACATTCGAAGGCTAAAGTTAGAGGAAAACTAGGTGAGAGCACAGATGGAGTCACTAACATGCTAACAAAAAGTCACTGAAAAATATTCCAAACATAAGAAAAGAGTTTAAAATACAAGTAAGTAACATTACAGACCATCAAACAATTATGATGAAAAAAGAAGCCACCAAAGCATATCCTTATTAAATTACCAATTATCCAACAAAAAATTAGAGTTTTAAAAACAGCCAGAGAAAAACAACAACAAAAAAATCACATATAAAGGTAAACCAATTAAAATCACAGCAGACTTCTCAACACAAACCCTAAAGGCCTGAAGAGCTTGGAATGAAATATTTCAAGCTCTAAGAGCAAATAACTTCCAATCCAGATGAACTTACTCAGAAAAGCTATCATTCAAAATAAACAGCAAAATAAGGAATTCCCATTGCATAAGCCCAGTTCAGAAGATAAATAAGTGCTAAACCAGCTCTAGAGAAAACTTAAAAATATTCTTGACAAGCTATCATTCAAAATAAACAGCGAAATAAAGAATTCCCATTGCATAAGCCCGCTTCAGAAGATAAATAAGTGCTAAACCAGCACTAGAGAAAACTTAAAAATATTCTTGACAGAAACAATGAAATGGACACAGCTAAAAACACAAAGGAAACTAGTGAGGTCAATGGATAAACAGTAGCAAAAACACCAGGGAAAGAAGAACAAAGTCCACACAACAGATAAAGAAGGCAATGACAGTAAATAACCAACATATCTCAGTAATACCTCTCAATGCCAATGGCCTAAATTCTTTTACTGAAAGACACAGACTGGCAGACTGGATCAAAAGACAGAATCCATTCATCTGTTGCATTCAAGAAATTCATCTAATCCAAAGAGATCTTCATAGACTAAAAATTCAAGAATGGAAAACAGTATTTCATGCACCAGGACACTGAAAACAACCAGGAGTAGCAGTTCTAATATCAGGCACGGTAAACTTCAAGCTAAAACTGATTAGAAGAGACAAAGAAGTTCACTACACACTAGTTAATGGAATAATCCCAACAAGAAGAGATAATATTGATAAACATATATGCACCAAATATTAGAGCACTTACTTTCATAAAACAAAAACTGTGGAAATGAAAAGATCAAATAAACACTAACACAGTCATAGAAGGGAATTTTAACACGCCACTTTCACAAAGAGATAAGTCAACGAAACAAGAAATCAATAAAGAAATTTCAGAGCTGAACCAGAACAAATGACTTAATGGATATATCCAGAATTTCCATTCCTCTACAACAGAGTATACATTCTTTTCAGCAGAATGTTACTTTTTCCAAAATAGATCACATTAGTTCACAAGGCCTGCTTAAGTAAATATAAAAGAAAAGAAATTATTTCATGCACACTATCAGATTACTGTGCAACAAAAATAGAAATCAGGGCTGGGGATTTAGCTCAGTAACGTAAGTGCC